ATCCTCAACAGGTACATAAGAAGTATCCTCAACAAGTATCCACAAGAAGTATCTTCAGCAAGTATCATCAACAAATGTCCACATTACGTATCCAGAAGAAGTATCCTCAGCATCTTGAACAGTATCCACACCACGTATCCTCAGCAGGTATCCACAGGAAGTATCCTCAGCAAGTATCATCAACAAATATCCACGCCGCGTATCAACAGGTATCCGCAAGAAGTATCCTCAGCAAGTATCTTCAACAGTATCCACACCACGTATCCTCAACAGGTACCCACAAGAAGTATCCTCAACAAGTATCCACAAGAAGTATCTTCAGCACGTATCATCAACAAATATCCACACCACGAATCCAGAAGAAGTATCCTCAGCATCTTCAACAGTATCCACACCACGTATCCTCAACAAGTACCTACAAGAAGTATCCTCAACAAGTATCCACAAGAAGTATCCTCAGCAAGTATCCACAAGAAGTATCCTCATCAATTATCTACAAGTATCCACGCCAAGTATCCTCAACAAGTATCCACCACAACTATCCTCACCTGCACCTGTGACGGTCGGATGCCTCGGGGAGAATGGCCAGTCTTGCCCCACACCAAACACCACCTCTTAACTGATAATAGTTATCTCTATTTGCTCTCCCATTTACCCGCAGTGAATTTGGTGAGGGGCGCGGAGGAGGCACTGATATTCTGTTTTCATGTGTGATTTGTATCTATTTTTTTTTTTTTTTTTTTTTCGATGTGTTGATCGATTCATTTACATTCAATCTCTCGTCTCTCAATCTCGTCTCTCTCTCTCTCTCAATATCCCTCGCTCTCTCTCTCTCTCTCTCTCTCTCTCTCTCTCTCTCTCTCTCTCTCTCTCAATCTCTCTCTCTCTCTCTCTCTCTCTCTCTCTCTCTCTCTCTCTCTCTCTCTCTCTCTCTCTCTCTCTCTTCTCTCTCTCTCTCAATCTCTCTCTCTCAATCTCTCTCTCTTTCTCTCTCAATCTCTATCTCTCTCTCTCTTTCCATGTGATCTTTCACTCTCACTCTCTCTGCCCCTGTCTCTCTCTGTTAGTTATTAGCTTCTACCAAAAGACGAGAAAATGAATCTAATTTCATTTACCTTTCCTTTTGCATTATGGAAATGATAATAAAGAAATATCGGCCACTTTAAAAAGTCGATGAAATAAAACATGAATACATGCCTAAATTAATCGACATTTCAGTGGGAGAAAGAAACATTCTAATCTCTTGATAATGAACAAGAAATATGCGTTTTATCCACGTTGTCATTTGCTGCAGTTCCAGTCGTGTTGATATTTTGCACATTTAAACTGAATTTGTCAACTCATCTGTAGTCATTATCTTAAGGTATAATATTGTTGTTTCCTGACCCAACCCTGTCAATCTCTGTGAGTCTGGATCATTTTCTCTCTCTGTCTATCTATCTCTTTGCCCTTTCTCTCCCTATCCCTTTTTTTCTTAATATCTTCTTTTCTCCCCCTTCCCCTTTCTCTTTTTATCATATGTTTGTGCATTGGTATGGATATCTGTCGATCTTTCTCTCAAACATGGAAATTGGGAAATGTCGATCTCCAAAACGTCACCAAAAATCATTTGGCAAGTAAGTTCAATTGCTGGAAAGGCTTGTCTTTGCCTTGCCCTCGTGAGAAACAAGACGACAACTGATCCTGCAGACTCAAACACTATGTTCTGAATTGAAATTTTAAAGCCTACTTATGAGTGAGTGAGCTTCCTTTTCAGCAACCTCAATAAATCCCGAGAGATTACCTCTCTGCTCAAAGACATAGTTTTTATCTGTAAATCAGGAATGTATTGCTCCAAATTTCCCATCAGGTTTCTCTGCAGGACAATAGAGATAGTACTGGAGTGACCGCAGTGGAAACTAGGACCCCGTCATGGAAACCTCCAAGGGATCGCAATAGCCGCCTTTTTGAACGTTGCCAACACTTATGCATCTGTGCTTGCATCGCCGAATCTGAATTAACATTTCTAGGTGTTCTGGCCCGAAGAAAATTCGGGAAAGTAACCAGTTTCCTGGATCACCTTCCAGAATAATGGCTATTTGAAAACATAATACCACTCAGTGGGGACCTGTGCTCTCACACTCTTGATATCCACCTCACTGGGGCGTGCACAATCATCTTTTCAGATGATCTTGAGATTACCTTTACTGGAAGAAACAATGAGGGGAGCCTAGCTTGGTCTGTTCCTCGTGTCTGAGGAATGCCATAGTATAGGGCTTCCAGCCTTTGCAGCCAAATCGAAAGGCCACGATTCCATGACTCAATGCCCATGGTGTCAGGCTGCGTGTCCAGGGCTTGGACCTAGAGAGGGTTCATGTCTTCCACTACCTTGGGATGTTCGTTGACCAGAGCCTCACTTTTCAAAAGGAGGCACAGTGCCAGGTTGAGTAAACGATGACAAGGCTCTGTATCATGAAAGCAATAACTGACACGTAGGAGAGGGATTTAGAGAACTAAGATT